GAGGCCCGGGGAGAGGCGGCAGTGCCCGCCCCGCGTCCGCCTTGAGGCCCAGCAGCACCCCTCCGCCAAGGGCCTCCACCCGGCCCTGCGCCGGGGAGGCGGTAACTGACTGACCGAACCCCTGCCCGGAAATAAAAATGCCTTTTCCAGTTTTTCAGTAGTTTTGCCTCCCGCTGCACAGCTTGGGCCCGGGGGCAGCGCGGTGCCGCCTGCTCTGGGAGAGAGACTGTGGCGGTGCCTTTCTAACGGGGATGAGCCATGCTCGCGCCCATGGCCAACAGCACTGCTTTTCTTTCAGAGGATACGACGGGGAATCGGACCTTCACGTTGGAATAACCAACAGTCACGGTAAACAGTACTTTGTAGTTGCCTTACAAATCACTGCCCGTCTCCCGTACCCTGTATGTAGGCTGTACGCCCAGTTTAGGTCTGCCCCCTCCACCATCTGAATTGCGCGGCAGTTATTTCAGAGCCACCTCCACCACTGCAGCATCTGGTGCCTGTTAAAAACACAGCCTGCAACATCCAAATAGCTGATGTTTTGCTGTTGAAGAACACATACATCCTCAGCGTGCCGCAGGTACCAGAACCGGGAGCTTTGCTGTACACTGCAAGAGAGTATCACGTAAAGATCAAAAAGTCTTTGAGTAAAAGAATCTATATCGCCTTGCAGCGGTGAGCACACAAATCAAAGCGGAACACCTCTCCCCTCATGGCTGAGGAGCTGCACAGAATGGAATTGAAAGATGCCTTCTATTCCTGATGCAGGGAAATAAAAAAGCTAGGCAGCCTACTTTTAAAAAGAAGTTTCAGGAAATGTTGACTTTGAAACACAGTTCTTGCTAATTCTACAAATACCCCTAATTAAAATAAAAGTATATCCCCACATTAAAAATCATATCAGGTTCTCCTAGAGTAGGCCCACCCTGCAAAATCTCACTTGAGATGTTTATTTAACGTAAAAGTGGTCTAATTTATAGGTTTAAAAAAGAAGCCTGGTTGTCCTTAAGTTGCTTTCTTTACCAAAAACCATCTGAAGTTACACTGTAAAAATGAGAACAGGTTTTTGATAAAAGCAAGCGCCGCATTTTCTACTCCGTGGCCACAGGCAGCCACTGATGGAAAGCTGTGGGATAGCTAGTCTAAGAAAGAACAGCACTATGGAAAACTAGCAGTAGCTTTCATCGCTGAAAAAAAAAAAAAAAAAAAAAAAAAAAAGGATATGGATGTGATTCTCTAGTGCCACCTGACAATCTGTTGCTCTTTATTTTCAGGCGTGGTGTATAATTACAATGAAGAGGGCATTCACAGAGCTGACACTGGATGGGAACAGTGCATTAGTATCCCACTAGTACAGCCAGACATGTTTGGGCTTCTTCAGGAGTGGGATAAGCTCCTAGAGGAATTTTCTGTGGGAGAGGCCTGGCTTCCTCACAGGTATGTAGTTTAAAACCTGGATGCAATAGGAGTTTTGCATCTGGGATGATAAATTGGGCTATTCTGGTTTGGATCCTGTGAGGCTGGTGGTTCATTCAGAGCCTTGTTCCTTTAGAGCACACATTTCTAACAAACCAGTCCAAACAACGCTGTTGGGCTGTCTTGAAACTTAGTAGCCTTCCTAAACTGAAAAAAGAGTATTTTTAAGTCGGAAGTAACAAACTCATCTACTGGAATGTAAAAGCTCTAAAATATAGAGGTCATTTTAGGGAAGTTTTCTTCAGCAACAAAAGAATTTTGCATGAAAAAAACCACAGTTCAATGAAATATTACCTTTCTGAGTACAGAAGTAGAAAAGTCCAGGCGCAATTCTGTAATTATTTCTTCTAGGTTTCAACAGTTTTAGGTGTATTTGCATTTACGGGCTGAGAGCGCTGATGGGATTCTCGCCCAGACGGTACAACCAGATGACTTCTTTGATGTCAATGGGAAGCACAGTCAGGCTCATTTCCAGCTGGTTCGTAACATTGCTTTGGATAGTTAAATACAGAAAGACTTCCACATATTTTGAATTAAACTAGCATGTTCCAATGAGAACGTTCAGTTCTGTGTAGCTTTCCTTTAAGTTGATGCCCGATGACAGTGTTACTAGTTACACAGCCCAGCTAAAACATGCACTGCCACATCACCGAGCCTGCTGATGACAAAGCAGCCTGCTCTCCAAGAAGACACCAGGCCTTGAACTGTTCATCAGTAACCGCACATGTAACAAACAGCCTGCCTGAGCATAGTTCTGTGAAGTATTTAAGTTAATAAATGCAGACGTCATCTTATATAACAGAAAAAGAAACACACAACAAATCAAAAGCAGGTTTTAGCAATTCTGTATGTGATTGACTAAAATTTCAGAGATAGTGTATTATCTCCATAGTACCAGGAGATGAATTTGCCCTAGAATTTTTAAAAGTCTATGGAACTTGTAAAGCCAACAGGATTTGTCTCTCATACTTTTACAGTTCCCAGTGCCTTAATGTTACTACTAAAATTAACTTGATGTCAAAAAAGCATTGGTAGAAGGTGGATAAATGTGCACATCTCTTCTACAAGCTTTTCTTTGCTTTTCCTCACTCTGCTACCTCCTGACAAAGTGACCTACTTTTTCCAGAATTACATCAGTGACCACTAAATTGCAGAAAACTGAACTTTTTTTTTTTTTTTTAAAGATGTTAAATTAACTCCTCTGTTTATTTTTTCAATGGACAGGAACTGCACTAAACTAATCCTGTAACTCCTTTGGGTTCAGGCCAAGCCCAATTCTAATTTTCTTGATGACTTTTAATTTACTGGAAGGCTGGTACATAACAGCAGCAAAGAATAGCGGCCACAGCCATGACCAACAGTATCTTAAATTACTGATATTTTGCTTGTCAAGATATAAAGACATGCTTCCCAAAAAGGAGGAGCTAACTGGAAAACACAGATGGTAACGAGAAGTGTATTACAGTCTTATGCATTATAAATACGAAGATAGTCTGGAAACAAAAATGAAAAGTTACATGCTTTGCTTAATTGTGCAACTGATTCAGTAAAGCACTTGTGCACAGAGAAGTTAGCCAGACACGCTGCAGCGTTCTGCAGACTCACCCCTGAGCTGGTGAACCCAACACTTTTTCCAGTGTAATTTCCAGATGATTTGCACTGCACAGTGATGGTGGCCACTCTTGAAGTTACTCGTAATTGCTTGCTTACTAAACGGGAGCTCATAGGTCACTTCAGATACCCTTAACAAACCAGAAGAGCTTTGAAGAAAACAGCGAGCTGTGCGGAACTGGGGTGAGGGTCGCAGGGTTGCTTTTGATAGCCATAGTCCTCAGATCTTGCACAAACACCGCGTAAATTCCCAGGGCCGACAGGCAAGCGTCACAGAAGATTCCCTGTGGCAACACAGACCGTGGAGCCACTGACAGTACAAGACAAGGAATGAGTCACAGGGCTAAGAAGAACAAGGGAAAAATGACACAGGAGGAGACAATTATGGAAGAAGCTTGAGGATTAGGCAGATGGCAAACAGGAGTCTGAGCAGGTCTGCATCAAATGCAGTTGCACCAGGCCAGTGGAAAAAGCAGCACTACGTGGTGGAATGGAATAAATTACTGAAGTTGTTAGTGGCCAACACGAAACATTTGGGAGAATCTAAGAAACATTCTGAGAGTGAAAAAAAAACTGGTAATTGCCATATGCTCCTAGGTTAGGGCAGCGAGGGAAGGAAAAAAAAAAAAAAAAGAAAGAAGGCAGGTACATTTTAAATGGCTACTCCTATTCAGTTAGTATTTCTGTCCTTGCACAACTGGCACAAATTATTGCCAGTGGGATTTTGACTGGCACACTGTATAGCAACTGTATCAACGTAGTAGTGATAGAATTTACTTGATTTTAAGTAAGCTTCCAAGTTAACGCTACACTGACAGAAGTGCACATGATGGCACACAACACTACTGCTGCAGGAAGAAGTTTTCAAGATAACAAGCGTAACAATACATGGAAGAGCAAAGGTTAACAAGGTAAAAGCCAAATCAGTATAAAACATAAGAACTCATTATTGTAAAGTCTGCATCCCTCTTCTTTTTTTTTTTTTTTTTTTTTTTTTTTTTTTTTTTTTTTTATGTTCACAGTTTCTAGTATCCCTGTCTGGAAAGTACTACTTGTAATGAACAGAATATATTTAAGCACCAGTATTAAAGGAAAGTGGTATCAGTTCTTGGAGAGCATGTGCTTCCTTATTTCAATCAGTAAAATATTCCTCCATGCACAGTAATTAATGGCTTAGCACTCTTACTAATGATATGTTTTTCCTAGGTATGAAGAACACGACCACAACTGCTACACATACGCACTGGCATTCATTAACAGTGTACTGACTGCACAAGGGAAACAGCAAATGAGCAAAAGTGAATTTACAGAGAAATTTGTGATCCCACAGACAAAGAAAGCTTCCAAATACCTTACTCTGCATCAGGAGCTAACAGCTAACGATTTCTACATTGTACCCCTTCCTGACCAAGAAAAACAGTGTTGAAAATGACAAGTTGCTATATTAAAGCATCTACAACATTCAATAGGAAAAGGAAGTCTTAAGACTCCAAATCTCAGGGTTTAAGATTCATGATCTACTTAATGTATTTAAAAAAACACAGTTAACTTTACATGTTGACCTGCACATCATGGAAGGATCGGGAAACTGAACTTGTGCATTTGAATGAAATAACATACATACAATGTATGCACTACAGAAAGTTTTTATGGGAACTATTTATATGGAAAAATGTTTTCCTATTCACATTCACTGTATGCTCATTCTGCCAAGACACTTAATACCAGAAATCGTAACTGCTGTGTAATTAAGGGTTTTAACAAATGAACTGTGGTAACTTTAGCTGTAGCAAACCAAGTTTTTTTTCCTGTCACATTTGTTTGCTGATGAGTGAAAAAAGGAATTTGCTTGTATGCTGCTGAAATCCGAAGTCCATGACTTAATGCAGATTCCCTACATGCAAAGTTATTTTCCTTTACTTTAATTACTAATAAATATAACAACAAATCAGTTCAGCCTCCTTGCCAGATATATTTCTTTTCCAATTCTTCTTTACATTTTGCACATTTATTCCTCAAACCAAGACAGATGCTTAGTATTAAAAGATAATCATTTAGTGTCTGCATCTGCTCGTATCTGTAATAAGCAACAGACTCCTCAGGATTTACCTCAGAGTTAAAACCTTAGATCTCAACAAAAAGAAATTTAAGTTAAAAAAAATTAGAAGACTCTCCAACAGCACTTTTACCTGTTGTGCATTACACAGAAGTGTATGCTGAGGTCAAAATTCTGCAGTCCATAATTTTGTGCAGTTTCACTTTATTTACTTACATTCTAGTTTAAGAAAATAATTTCAGCTTTTTTTTTTTTTCCCAGCAAAGTAAGCTGGTTTTAATCTAGATGCAAGTCCTATTTTTTCAAAGATGGAGAAGTAATCATAAATGATTGGGGTTTTGTCCACATCCAGTTTATACTTTTGTGTACACAAACTGCATTAACCCTGCCCCCCAATACTCTCTAGCTGCATACATCACACACCCCACACTTCCTCCCCTCCATGTTCTTCCACTTCTTGCTGAATTCTAAGTTATAGCTCCTTTAAAAGCATATTAAAAACTCACAACACCAGGAAGACAACCAGCTTGAAACACGCAATTCGGCTGCTTTTAGAGACCTCCGATCCACCCACTCCTAGTGCAAGCTGGAATTCTGCAGCTAGGATTTGGCTTACAAAAAGAAGTTATGGTATGGTATTTCTGAGTGAATCAGAATTCATACTTCATTTAAGCACTGTATTTTAGTTAGTAAAATATAAATAGCAAGTATCAGTGCTATGGTACAACTATCTAATGTAAGTTATTTGATATAACACTACTGAAACATGAAGTACAGTCATCTGCAGCTAGAAATGAAACACCTTTCCATGTACAGTGAACACACACATACCTGTTCAGCTTGAAAATGCTGTTATGCAATTAACATTTTAATTTTGCATCTTTCCAGTAGAAGTCTTATTAAATCAAAACAAAGACTAGAAGATCTTCCACTTCGAGTTGTATGTAGTTTCCTGCATTCATGACATGGCTTTACAATCTAAAGTGCCTAAGTAAACAAGAATGTGGGTTTGTGTTTAGTGGGAACAGTCCGAGTTGACAGAATTTTTATGAGCCCTGGAAAATTCCCTATGACCAGGAGGCAAAAGCCCTTTTATGGTGAATGAAAACAGCAGAAAGAAAATCCAAACAGCGTCACTGTCACCAGTTATAATGTATCCTTACTGTTGCAGCAAATGTGTTCTTTCACAACAAAGGGGAAAAAAAAAAATGCATCTAAAAAAAATCTAAACAGCGTGGTGAAGCAAGGAAGCTTATCGCTCAAAGACTAAGATGGAATTCAAATGCCTGAATCTAAAGCAGCAATACTTAAAATGCAGCGTAGCTGATACTCAAACCTCCTGGCTCAACTTGAAAGACAGCTGAATACCTGCTGGGTTTGTTTGTTTGTTTGTTTTCCAAACAGTTCTTCGCAATAGCAAACATGATATTTAGGAACCTGCCATCTACATGATTAAATCTTACAAAGAAGTTAGAAAATAGCAGGCACCTAGTGTAGCAAGGCAGAACTGCTCGGCACTGTCTTATGCCTCACTCTATACAAAATGCAGCCGTGTCTCCCAGTCTGTTGTACAACAGAAGATAGGCCAGGGGAAAGAAAGCTACCAGTGCACTATGAAAAAAAGAAAGTATAGACTCTTGTAGTTGCTGAATAAGAGAGAAAAATGCAGTGATGAAACTGAGACTTAGACTTGCCAAGCTACAGACTGACTTCCTTTCACTAGCTCAGCAAATCTTCATTATTTTCTACACGGTATAACCCATCTTCAACAAAAGTAAAGCACTTCAACTTGTGGTGAGGGCATCTTGCTGTGAAAATCCCAAGTGAAGTATATCTTACTGAAATGGAGAAAGGTACTCCAGCATTCCCTGCTGCTGAACACCTAACATTGCGGTTAGGTGCTTCGATCCTAGAATTACTTAAAATCCTTGCACATTCTGGGAAGAGTTCCTCAATCCTGAGCAGTGCTTGTGAAAATAAGTACTTATAGTTCGGACCACTAAATCCCAGGGTCTAGGTGCCTAACAGCAACCTGTTGCAATGCTCAATATTGCAACAAGATCTCTCCCCAAATCTAAGTTTGTGCAACTTCATCAAGGCTATGAAGTCAGGTTTTAGTTGAAGAAGAAACGGTACCATACGTATCCCAAAAGGTTATTTGACTCACTGTAATTACTGCTGGTTTTTAATGAGCTTTAACTAGTTAAAAACCAGCATTAAACTTGAGGACTATCAAGGTTTAAGTCCTCATTTCTGAAGAAACGTAGGACCCTGCACTGAGCTACAAAATGAAGTTAGCCTTACAATTCCCAAGTTCAACTCTGAAGAATTTGTGAGGTATTCCCAGAAAACTGTTTGATTTCCCATTGCTTCGGCTTTCAAGCACACATTCCAGTTTTGGACTTCAGTGGCTCTGCAGGCTGTAGTGCCTATTCAGCACTAATGCCTGGATCTGTCAGAATATTAAAAATACCATTACTAATGAATACAGTCCAGCCACCATTCAAAGATACATGTTTGTAAGTTTTAAGAAAACAAACAATTATTTTGAGTTGGGACACAGCTTTAATTTTTCCCTCTTCATATGCATTACTGTAGTTCAGTTGTGTTTTTCAATACAAAATTCTCTCCAGTAAACAGGATGTACCTCATTTTAAATAGCATTTATACATACCAACTGAATATGTTGAGACTGTTGAAATGTTGACTGTTGAAATAGCAATGGTTCATCATGAGAAGATCAGGTAAAAAACAACAAGACACGATTTTAAAAAAAAAAAAAGTTTTTCCTATATAGTCAGTTAGAGTTCATCTTGCTCACTGCGCTCACGGGAAGAAACCCAACGACTTACAATCAGTTCCTGAAATAAATACCAGCAATTATTATGAGGGAAGGCGGAGGGGGAGGTACAGATCATCAGTGAGGGATGGGGATTAAGCCTTTAGCAAATTGACATATATTATATGACCATTGATAAATTTTAGTAGATGACTACATTTGTTCGTGAAGTGTGCTGGTCTCTCACACATTTTTCTCCCTTCATTTTTAAACATACATTAACCTTACAGTCTCCATAGTTATCCCTGTTTCCCCACGCAAATGCTTACATTCACAGTAGCAGCAACATTAAAATTTAGATTAGAAGATCTTAAGTCTTTAAAGAGCTTGCAATACACTTCTCATGCCTTGGGGCACAAAGGAATCTAGTTATTTTATTGCAGCTATGTGTATGAAACCCAAAGCATGCTAAACAGCAAGCAGCAGTTCAAGGGGGCTCTTACAGATAGCTGTCCAGCTGCCTCAAGACAAAGCTACAAGAGAAGTAATTACTCACCTGAACCTTAATTTTTTTCATACATTCTGGTGTCGACATTTCTTTTTCAGTCATGTCAGACGGTCTAATCAAATAGCATAACATAAGTTCCTGTTGGTAAACAGAAAACATGAATACACGACTTGGAACTGAGTTCTTTCTATACCAAGTTTTAGATTAATTAGAAATGCAGATACCAAGTTTCCTTCAAGATGACTTCTGCATAACAAGTTGGGGAGGGCTGCCTAATATGCGTATCTCATTTTCCTTATCAAAGCATAATACTGCTCTAAGATAAACTAGAACTGTAACACAACAGCTGAGCAGCATGGCTGTGAGTATGGAAGCACTGTGTGTGAGGCTCTATCACAGAGAAAATCTTTTGGAAGCTTTCAGTTTCACTGTTCAAAAGAAAATCCTGGTAGATGGAGAGAGCTTTAAAAACAGAAGTGGCAAGCAGGAAAGAAGAGTCCCTCATGTCTGTCTTCTGTTCCTCACACAACTTTTTAACACTTCTATACAGTAAAGAGAACTTTAACGAGCTTCTTCCAGAATTCATCTGGATATTGACAAAGGAAACTCGTTTGCCTACTGGCAACTCAACGTGTTCTTCAGCAGACTAGAAACAGAAGGATTGTCTTTCCACCCTCACTCCAACTTCCTGTTCTTTGGAACTAAACTGTACATTTATCATTTTAAAGCTATTTTAAAACTAGCATCTTACACTTACCTTAGAAGCATTAACAGTTGTTCTGTTCAACCCAGATAACGACTTCCAGCTGAGTGGTCTGCGAAGAGAACCTTCAAAATTATCATCAACTAATTCAGCAATGACAGAGTAACTGGAAAACAAACCAGATAGGACAATTCAGAGAAATAAAATTAACATTTTAGGAAGATTGTGAAACTTGAGAATTAGAGCTTAAAAATTGATATTAAACAATATGCCAGCATGCAGTAAGCAAGTTGTGAAACTTAAGTCTCTTTCTACTAGGAAAAGAGGAGAAAAGATGAAGTTGTGAATATGCTTACTGGCACTTTCCTTCCCCACCCTTC